AGGTCACCTTCAACTATGAATTTATATTCCACGACCCAGTTATGGGCATCTTTGTGTTTAATTCCTAAAACCTCATCGTTTAAGAATTATATTTTGAATATAAATGGTATATAGGGAATTTACTTTTCGATGATTGAGATTTTTTCAACAATATTTTTAGAATGTCCACTTCCCCTTCACTTTCTTTCTTATAAACTAGCCAAGAATATAAAGATTATACGTTTCGCGAATTTCCTCTGTGTCCAAATCCATTCTTGAATCACGGAGGAAAACCACGAAACGTATAATCTTTATATAGACACCCGTGGAAACCTCAAGAATACTAGCCAAGAATATTATTTAGAATATATCGAGAGATGAAGCAACGTAAATGTGTACATACTGTCGTCATTCATTCAGCACACCGAATCCATGGGTGCGTTTCGAGTTACGCATGAAGCACATAATGCATCATTTGTCCTTGTTGTTCATCAAATAATAAAAAAGGATAAAACGATACATCATGTGTAACTCGGAATACACTACTTTTATACGCGTCTATAGTCATTCAAGACTATTTGAAGAACTTGCAGATTCGAATTGACGATCGTTTCATAATTCACGATAGATATGTAAACAAGAAATAACAATATGAGTTAAATAGATCGATTTATTAGGAATATAAAGGGGGGAATTATAAAGAGTGGTGAAAAATAAGAAAAGAAAGATAAAAAAAAGCATATGCGCGTGAAGTTAGTCCCCCCCATTTCTAAAACTCGGCTTTGCAGACTGCACATATCATAATAACTGTAAGCATTCGTTTGATGGTCACTTACTAACGTTGATAGTCCCGATGATTACTAGTCAAAATTACAATCAAAATTATGAAAAGAAGGACATGCGCGCGTGATGTTAATTCCTCCCATTTATGAAACTCTGCTTTCCAGACTACATATGCAATAATAACTGTAAGCATTCATTTGGCAATCGCTTATTAACGTTTAATCCATTTTCGATAATTAGTAATTGAAATTATTATTGAAAATATCAAAAAATGACATGATTCACACGCATATGTCGTTTCTTGATATTTTTAGTTGTAATTTTGACTACCAATCATTGGGAATATACTACCAAACGTCAGCAAGCGACTACTAAACAAATGCTTATAATTATTATTATATGTGCAATCTGCAAGGCATGTTTAAGATAGTGCATAGTTTTAGAAAAGGGCGATCTAAGTTCACGCGCGAATATTTTGATATTTTTAATTGTAGTTTCGACTACCATTCATCAGGAATGTACTATTAAACGTTAATTTGCGACCACCAAATAAATGTTTATAGGTGTTATGTATCGCGACGCCTGAGCCGTAAAAGATGCTATATGGAAAAAAAACATGAAGAAAGGTCTTTGTCAAGAAATGAATGAAAAGCGGTCTATTTCGCGTGAGGCATGAAGATAGATCTATGTCGAAATGCATATGAAATACAGTTTATATCGAGAAAATAAGAAGAACAGTTCAAATCACATAAAATTAAAGAAAAGTCCATATAGCGCAATATTCACTACTCATAAATTGCACAAATTTAGTTACGAAAAATTAAATAATATACTCGTATGAATAAATGAGTGCGAAAAACAAGATTAAAAATTAAGACAATTTCCCGTTCTCAGTCATACCACTATAAAATTTATGAAAAGAAAATATATTGCGTTATATAACCTCTTCTTTAATTCATGCCAGAAAATATATTGTGCTATATAATATCTTCTTTAATTCATGCTACTTGAATCGTTCTTTTCATTTTTTTGATATAAACCGTACTTCATATACGTTCCGACATAGATCTTCACATCTTATGCGGAATAGACCGCTTTTCATTCATTTCTTGATATAAACCTTTCTTCTCGATATAGCATCTTCTATGCTCAGGCATCGGTATACAGTTGGGAAAAATCGAGTTTAAATAGAGGGATTAATTTCAAGCGCGTGTATATATTTTTTTTTATATTTTTAGTTATAATTTCAATTACCAATTATCAGGAATAGACTATCGAACGTCAGTAAACGATCAGCAAACGAATGCTTACAATTATTATATGTGCATTCTGCAAAGCCGAGTTTTAGAAATGGGGGACTAATTTCACGCGCGTGTCTTTTTTTGATATTTCTGGTTATAACTTTCTATCAAACGTCGGTAATAGACTACCAAACACCACCAAACGATCATCAAACGAATGGCAATGGTAATTTTTTTATTTTTAATATTAGGGGGACCAACTTCATTTGCCGGAGATGTGAGATAGACCTCGCTTCACATGAAATGTTTGTTATATGAAATGTATTCCGTTTTGGCATAAAAGAGCATTATGTAAATTATAGACTGTCCGTCCTTTAACGCCGAAACACTACCATGTTTCTGGATTGCAGAATACATATAGCATACGAGGTTTGTCCCAAAAGTACCCAACTTCTGCATATATCTTTGTCTTAGAGACACCATCCCTCCCTCTCTCTCTCTCTCTTGTGAAAAAACAGGCATTCAGTATTTAGGAGATTTTGAAGAATATTCCCATCCAACGGCACGACCTAACAATTATTCAGTCGACAACAATACACAGTTATGTTGAAAACTCCAAGCGTCACGTTTCACAATGATCGAGCGGGTCATTCATCTCATCTGAATCAGAATTTTTTGACTAAACATGGCATTGTCCAACTTCGTCAATCCCTACACAATCTAGCTATAGTCCCGTGTAACTTTTTTATTTTCTAAATTAAAATATATCTATCTGTCGAAGAGGAAAAAAATTCAACGGTACTGAAATGCCAAAAAATTGAAGGCTATGCAGGCACAAAAAATGACTACTAGGAAAAAAAGTGGACCGCTGGAAAGTCATTGCTTTGAAAAGAGATTACTTTGAAGGGATTTTCCATATTGACCATATTCGACCTCTGCTTATATAAGATATTTTTCGGACAGCTCGCATATAGTAAAATATATATTTTGTGCTAAAAAAATACGTTCTATTTGTTTCTTTTTAAAAAATAAAATTACTGTAAATATCTCAGAAAATATAAGAGACCTCCATCTAGTTATTAAGGCAAAGTTACTCGGAATCATGACCTTGACAATATATGTCAAAGTCAAAATCATCAGCGAGGTATTTCTTAATTAAATAATTACCTAAAAAATCTCAATTATCGAAAAGTATCAAATATCAAGTAAATCGTTCCTGTAAATTTTAAAATGTAATTGATAAATCAGATTTAGGATCATATTCTTTTAAGAAATTATAAGGTAGATATGAAAATACATCCTCCCCTCTTAGTTTCGTTTGAATTCGGGATAGGCCAAAAATTATCCTTATTGCAACCCCTCCTTTCTTTTGGAAACTGGTAAAAGCAGAAGATATTTATAATCAGATTATACATAAAAATTTGTTTGATTTATATGTTATGACGATATTAAAAAGTCGTTTCAATCAATTGCCTTATTAAAATTAGTTGTAGATAATTGTGTAATATATTTGGTCAGATACAAAAATTGTAGGGTACCAAGTTATCTATCATGTGATACTAGTGACTTGACGTTGAATGATCTTGGGAATGTCACATCAAAGTCACCTTGACTTTAAAAAAAAGGAAATTATCATTTTTTATTGTAAATTTTTATAGCCGATATCTAGACCTTTTCAAAAGTAATGTTAACTGTATGTATCTATATAGCATAACAGTATCAAAATAATTAAGTTCCATTTGATCAAAACTACTCGAAAATACACGCCACTAAAGTAACGCCGAGCCTTATCCAAAGTACACCACGCGGAGATCGCACAGTTCGATTTGTCGAACCTTGAAAGATCGTTTGACCTTTTCATTGTACTTTATTAAGTGAGTTTCCTTTGCCATTCACGCTTATGTGTATTCTGATCTGTTTAGGAACTCCAAACAGCAATCGATGATTCAGCCAGTCAAGTCAAAATCGGATTACTGATGATTACTGAATTACTAATGATTACTAAAATACTACCGACTAATCTTTCCTTGGCTGGCTGATCGACTGCTGTTTGGAGTCCTTAAATATCTCGGAATATACACATGCACACGCGCATGAAGCATGATTTCCTTTTTAAAAAACTCAAGGTAATCTTAATGTGACATTCTCAAAATCGTTCAAAGTCTTGTTTTGTAGCCATAATTACAATTAGTATTTAGAATAGAATAGAACATTATTAATTAAGAAGTAGCACGATTGCGTTAAAGTTTCAAAACACCAGCCTAATTCGAATAATTTCGAAAACGTTTAATTTGCGATTTGCGACTAAAAGAAGTACGTTCAAGTAGTACAGTTGCGACAATCACGCACGATTCTTTCCATACAGTGTCGCATAATTTTAATTGATTGCCAAATGTGTTCGGTCAACACCGAGCACATTTGACAATGGAATCAGGGCAAGACTGAAATCAGCTGACCAACTCAGTAGATCTTAGATTAGTATACCCGTATCGTGGACTGAGAATTCAGAAGTCGAGTAATAAGCATACATACGTTGCGTCAAGTACGTTAAGTTATAATCTAAAAATGTCACACCATATAGTGAATGAAACAGTACAACATTATCTCTCAGTAATACGACAGCCGAGTTGTGCAACATCGTTGACCGCAAGGCAAATCACCGACAAGACATTTTGTAAAGTATTTGTGAGAGTAATTAAAATTTTTTTAACAAACATTAATTCTGTAAATTTCTAACCCTTCGGCCTATATCCTCGTTATTATCTCTACTAGAGATAGAATAGTTAAACTAATATATTATTCTTATTATTTACTAACTAATATCATCATATGATGAGTAACTCCGTACCCTAAAACTTTTATATAAACAATTTTTTTCCGAAAACGCATCTTTCCGAGATAATCCAGTATTTTGACTTTTTTGTGACACCCTGTATGTAATTTACAATATTTATTAAAATTTTAGAGAGAGAAATTTCAAATAAAGATATTACGTGCCTGTAACAATAATTTGGCGCAGACCAGACAGTCAATACAGTCTCGTTAAAGTGCCACTTGTAGCCCTCCATTACTAGTTGATGAGCTCGACATATCATATCGATATCATTGGCAGAATTGAACTGAGCTACCACGTCGCTACCAAAGAGATAACCGGCACCGCGCGGCGACACGCCCCAGCCTTGAGTATCCTCAGGATCTGACCATAGTAAATCACACATTGGTCCATCGTGAGGAACCTGCATCATTAAACGAGAAGTATGTAACATTTCAATGCTTAAAAAAGCAAAGATTTTAAATGTAATACAATTTAAATGATATTGAAACTATGCTGAATAGGGCAGTTCTAGGGCAGTTGTTCGTCAAACACAAAAGATTCAAGTTCAATACCAATACTTATTGCTATCCCGAATTTTTAACATTAAGAATTTTGAATAAAAAATATTCAAAAATAATAAATAAAAGGAATATAAAGCCACAACGCTAAGACTTTTCTACTGAAAGTCTTATATTTAAAATAATTCCGTTAACAATTAATAGAAGAATTAATCATAAACGTTTCGGGCGAAATTAAGCCATCTTTAGTGTCATATAAATAAAAATTAGTGTAAATTAAATAAAAATAAAAAGCGTCAAATTGATAAAATAGTCATAAACAAAGTTGATGCAGAAGTCAACAAAAAACATAATAAAGTCAAAAAAAAACATAATAAGGTAATAAGTCAGATTACATTAGGTTTGTTTTCTGTTCCCAAAATGGCGTCAGCTGTTTTTTGTTTTTATTTTTCCAATAAACAGAACTCAGTGCATAAATTCACTGTACTGCTGTACGACTGCATTAGTATAATCTGTTCGCGTTGCTTGAAATCCTCAAATATTTTTGCACTTAAAATAAGATACACAGAATGTCCCACTAATCGATCACCTCAAATATCTCTTGAACAGTGCGTTTTAAGGAAAAATGTTTCAGACAAAAGTATTGAGGACATACCATTAGTTTACCATTAGTGACTTTAGGTGGCGTTATCAAGTATGAGAGCAAGCCTTCGAATTTTTTAAATGGAACTTTCCATATTTCATTACATATTCTTGTAGCTATTTCAGAGTTTTCTAAAATACTATAATTAAATTCATTTTCATTAAGTACTTTTCGAGTTATAAGGCTTGCAAGTTACAGCACCATCAACAGAATGTTGTTTCAGGATCGTAACCTGAATAACATTTGTCAAGATCAAAGTCATTGGAGATTGTTCCTCTTATTTTCATTTTTACACTAAAAATTCATTTCTATCTAAAAATGAAAATAAGTAGAACCTCAATAGCCTTGATCTTGACAAATGTTATCCAGGAATTCTGAACAACATTCAAGAGGTTTTAGCCATCGATCGGTAATGCTAATTGCACCTTGGATAATGCTAATGCCCCAACTGTACCTTTCAAGTCTTATAACTCGCAAAATACTTAATAAAAAAATATTTTATTATATTGTTTTGAAAAGTTCTCGAGGTAAACTACAAGACAAATAATAATAAGTAACGGGCAAAGTAAGAGTCAACACATTTCTTTGAAATTAACAAAAGAATATATTACAATTAACAGAAGTAAAATTACATAACGCAAAAAATAGAATCAAAATTAAGAAAATAATTACAAATTACAAGTTTCGGCTACCGGATCGAGCTCTCTTCAGACATTAACATAACGAAAAAATCGCAGAATAAAATCAATTATCGCAAAAAATGCTCGCATATTCAGAGCCTTCACAGTTCGGGTGAGTCTTGATGTAGAGTTCGACATTATTTTCGTACGATTGAACCGTCAAATGTATTAAAAATATCTTGGCAAAGCTCTAGTTGATAAAAAGATAAATTAAAAACTTTCCACAAAAAGATCTACGCGTAAATAAATTAACATACCGGAAATCTAATAAAAAATAATAAAAAATATAAAATAATAAAAATGCACCAGAAATCATGTAAAATTCAAACGAGCGTGTCCAAAAAGGAATAAAAAACTTTTGGAATATATACAGAAAGAAGAAACGCAGATGTGTAAGACAGACATTACGTGTCGATTATTATGTACGTACAGTAGTGCGGATCAACACAGACTGAGAGAGGAGACGGACTGTTAGTATCAGAAAGTCAAACTTTATTTATGATGAGAATATAAGCCTTGTGGAGGCCATCGGTGTCAGTTTGTAAATTGAGATCATTCTTCTGCTTCTTGATATTAAGTATCTCGGAAACCAAACGTCTCCGATAGCAAGGCTCTTCGTCTAAAATTACGACTTCATCCCATTGGAATTCGTGATCAAGCTGTCTCCTATGTTCCGTTATGACAGATCGGTCAAAAGTGTTGTATCTAATGTGATTGCGATGTTCAGCAATCTTGGTTTTTAATTTTCTGCTCGTCCGTCCAACGTATGACGCATCACAATTATTACACAAAATTTTGTAGACCACATTGCTCTTCGATGTATGTGGACAAATATCTTTCTGTACTTTAATGTATTTGCTCAATTTATTGGGACTACGGAAAGATACCCTGATGTCGTTTTTATTGAAACGTTTGAACTTTTCCGTGTGGAAAGGGATAAATGGTATCGTAAGCCAAGAAACAGATTTATTCGTCCCGACATCGTCAGCCAAAACTCTATGTGTTATGTGTCTATTTCTAATTAAATTTTTTATACGTTGATTGACTGTGTCAAAAATGAAGGTCAGTGGATAGTCATTGTCTAATAAAATGTTGATAATAAACGTCAAATTCTGTATGAAATCTAAAGTCTGATAATAAAAAAGCTGTGTCAACCAGCGAAAGAATCGTCCCTCTCTTTTGTGCCATAGAATGATTAGAATTGAAATTCAAAAACCTCCCTGAAAAGGTCGGCTTACGGTACTAATCAAAACCAAACCTGTTTCCATTAATAGATATAGTAACATCCAGAAAATTAATTTCATCTCCTCCCACTTCTGAAGTAAATTGCAAACGCGGATGGAATAAGTTAAATTGTTCTAATAACAAGTCAATTTTCGAGGAAACAACCGCAGTATAAATGTCATCCACGTATCTGAAATAAAATACTACATCTAAGTCCAACGACATCAAGGACCTTCATTTTTGACACAGTCAATCAACGTATAAAAAATTTAATTAGAAATAGACACATAACACATAGAGTTTTGGCTGACGATGTCGGGACGAATAAATCTGTTTCTTGGCTTACGATACCATTTATCCCTTTCCACACGGAAAAGTTCAAACGTTTCAATAAAAACGACATCAGGGTATCTTTCCGTAGTCCCAATAAATTGAGCAAATACATTAAAGTACAGAAAGATATTTGTCCACATACATCGAAGAGCAATGTGGTCTACAAAATTTTGTGTAATAATTGTGATGCGTCATACGTTGGACGGACGAGCAGAAAATTAAAAACCAAGATTGCTGAACATCGCAATCACATTAGATACAACACTTTTGACCGATCTGTCATAACGGAACATAGGAGACAGCTTGATCACGAATTCCAATGGGATGAAGTCGTAATTTTAGACGAAGAGCCTTGCTATCGGAGACGTTTGGTTTCCGAGATACTTAATATCAAGAAGCAGAAGAATGATCTCAATTTACAAACTGACACCGATGGCCTCCACAAGGCTTATATTCTCATCATAAATAAAGTTTGACTTTCTGATACTAACAGTCCGTCTCCTCTCTCAGTCTGTGTTGATCCGCACTACTGTACGTACATAATAATCGACACGTAATGTCTGTCTTACACATCTGCGTTTCTTCTTTCTGTATATATTCCAAAAGTTTTTTATTCCTTTTTGGACACGCTCGTTTGAATTTTACATGATTTCTGGTGCATTTTTATTATTTTATATTTTTTATTATTTTTTATTAGATTTCCGGTATGTTAATTTATTTACGCGTAGATCTTTTTGTGGAAAGTTTTTAATTTATCTTTTTATCAACTAGAGCTTTGCCAAGATATTTTTAATACATTTGACGGTTCAATCGTACGAAAATAATGTCGAACTCTACATCAAGACTCACCCGAATTGTGAAGGCTCTGAATATGCGAGCATTTTTTGCGATAATTGATTTTATTCTGCGATTTTTTCGTTATGTTAATGTCTGAAGAGAGCTCGATCCGGTAGCCGAAACTTGTAATTTGTAATTATTTTCTTAATTTTGATTCTATTTTTTGCGTTATGTAATTTTACTTCTGTTAATTGTAATATATTCTTTTGTTAATTTCAAAGAAATGTGTTGACTCTTACTTTGCCCGTTACTTATTATTATTTGTTTTGTATAGAAAGAGTCCTTTGATTTGTTATTTATGTAAACTACAAGAATATGTAATGAAAAATGAGGAGATTCCATTTAAAAAATTCAAAGTGACCTTGCCCTGATCTTGACAATGCCATCAAAGATCAAACCAATAACACCATCTTATGTTCCCTTCGAAGTACCAAAACTTTTGTCTAGCACATTTTTCCCCAAAATGCACTGTTCAAGAGATATTTAAGATAAATTCGATTAAAATGAGATATCCTGCATATTTGGACATTGAAAAAAAGAGAAAGCGAAAATGTTGAGTGCAAAAAATGCATGCAATGCGAACAAACTTTGGGTTTAGAGTCAGTGCAAGTAGTACAAGTATACTAGTTCAGCTACAGAAAACAGACCTTGTACAAATAGTGCAAGAATTTATGAGTAATAAAACGATAAAAATATAAATAGTAGCAAGCCTGCATACAAAAACATTTTATATCATCATTATCTTTAAATTTATTTTTTGTTCCTGTACGAAATTGCACCAGAACTGAATTGAATTGAATTAGTGCAATCTAGAATTGATGAATATAAGCGTACAGACAAGGAATAAAAGGCTTGTTTTTTTTTTTACTGAACTTTTGCATTAGGAGAAAAAAAGAGGAAAATGAACTGGTGCAAAAGTTCAGCCAAAAAGAACAGCCCAAAAAACGTAGTGCAAGATAAAAATGACGTCCCATATTGTTTACATGGAAGTATTAAATTCGCGTGATGAAAATGAAAGCATCAATGTAATTCCACCATTAACCAAATTCTTAGTTAAAGATAATGATGATGTTTATGTTAATGATGAGTGTACAAAATGTTTTGTATGTAGGCTATCATTTTTACATATATTTTTATCGTTTTATTACTCATAAACTCTCGCACTACTTGTATACTCACGATTAAAAGGTTGCAACAGATTTTTTCTATTCTTTCGAAATGAAGCCTACTCACTTATGGATAAGTAAGAACCAATCGCTCAATGAGCAGACTGCATTCCGAAACCCATTTAAAAAAAGTATTGCAATCTTGTAGTCGAGTGTACAAGAGACTTGTTCTTTTTGACCAAAAAGAACAGGCTTATTGACTCCAGATCTAGTGCAGCCAGTACGGTGAACTCGTGCACTGAGTTCTGTTGCACTGAAACAAAAAATCGACGTCATTTTGGGCACAAAAAACGCTTTAGTGTACACTTTTTGAACTAGTGCAACCAGTGCAGGAACAGAAAACAAATCTTTTGACTAAGAATTTATTAAATAGTGGAATTGCATTAATACTTTTATTTTCATCACACGAATCTAATACTTCCATGTAAACAATATGGAACGCCATTTTTATCTTGTACAGAACGTTTTTTGTACAACGTTTTTTGTACAACGTTTTTTGTACCTTGCCTGCACGTTTAATTCGTCTGAATTCATGAGTTCTGAATTGCATTAGTTCAGTTCAGTTCTAGTGCAATCCTCGTGCAGGAACATAAAATAAACCTATTGCCAGTGAAATAATATATAAATGATGTAGCCCTAAATGTCTGTTTGAATTAACAATTCTATGTAATTTATTTCACGTTAAAATTCGCGTTTTGTATTATTACACAACTGATGAACCGATATGAAAGTTCCATGTTCAGCACAACAGCACTATCAGAGCCACCTTAAAAAATATTTTACTGATAAAAAATTAATAATAAATTTCAAGATACAAAAATACTAAGAATAATAAACCAATCACAGTAATGTGTCATGGAGGATAGAAACCTTAAACAATAATACCAATAAACAAATTAAAATAAAAAAATTCTAATTCTCCATAGAGATTGGACAAACAAGTTCCTCAAATTAATTTTGTAACTTTAGGAATAGTTTAGTATCATTACAATATTATTATGTAGCTTTTTTATCATGTGTAGTGGCTGCGTTCAGTAGTAAAAGTAGCTTTAAAATTGTAAGTCTGTAATACGTAGGCTCCTGGAAAAGTTTCTGCAAACAATATGAAAAAAACATGTAAAATTCGGTAAATGGCTTTATTATTTTTCGAGTATTCGCCTTTAAGATCGGTATATTTTTGCATACGCTCGAACCAATTTTCGAAGTATTTTCTGCACTCTAAGGCTGTAACCTCAGAAATCAGTGTACAAAATGTTTCAACAGCTGCTTCAGGCAACTCAAATTGCTCACCACGCATCTTATTTTTAATGTTTGGAAACAAATAGAAGTATTATCATTAGGTGATAAATCAGATGAATACAGACAATGAGTCATCAATTCAACATTATTACTGGACAAAAAATCAACGGTTTGATGTGCTGTATGACAGCTGGCGTTGTCATGATGAAGGATGATGTGACGATTTCGGTTTGATCTACGCAATTCGTTTATGACTTCTGGCAAACAAATTGTTGTATACCAATCAGTATTTACATTCCTTTGATCCTCTAAAGCCACGGTTGTCACATGTCCAGTATAACCGAAGAAACAAGCAACCATTTGCTTGGCAGCACTGCGTGAACGAACAACTTTTGTTGGTTTCGGTTCATTTTGAAATACCCAAACAGTGGATTGTTGTTTACTTTCGGGCTCATACGAATAGATCCATGTTTCGTCCCCAGTAACGATGTTGTAGACCAAATTTGACCGACCTTGGTTGAATTTCTTGAGCATTTCTTTGCTCCAATTAACATAAGCCTGTTTTTGAGTTTCGGTCAAATTGTGTGGGATCCAACTGCAAAGTTTCCGTACGCTCAAGTGATCATGCAAAATCGTATGTATTGCTTTCATGTCAATGCCTAAGGATGCCTGAATCTCGCAGTATGTTATATGCCGGTCTTACTCAATCATTTCACGCACAGCATCAACATTAGTGACAACAGACGTGGATGGACGACCTTCACGGAATTCATCACTAAGAAAGGTACGTCCACGCTGGAATGCGGCAAACCAATTATAAACAGTCCTATTGGATGGTGCTTCATCCCCAAAAGCCAAATGAAGTCGATCGATGCATTGTTTCGAAGTTAGATTAATCGTAAAAAATCTCATTGCCCGAAAATTTTCACGCGAAATTTCCATTTTCTTACAAAATAACTTCTTTTAAAATACTATGCAAACAAAATTAGTTAGCTTGGATACAACTGTCAATTGAATTATAGGTTAAAAACGTCTAATTTTACGGATATGATAGTAGCAGAATGTTGATACCACTGCAACTACTAGATTGCAGAAACTTTTCCAGCAGTCTACGTATGATCGGTTCATCCTTAGTTCCTTATTCGGATGTATAAACTAATCACATTAAAGAATCTTATAATAGTTGTGCAAAACCTTTTCTGATATCGACACTGTCGTTAATAGTTACAGAATCGAGATAGTGATTCTGATAATTTTTTTCTACAAAAGCGAAGCTTATAATTCCTTTTTATAAAAATAGCAATTTTAAAATGGTTCTTTAGTAAAGTATCGAAAATTTGGGGTGCCTCATCAGGGCCCAAAATCACAAACATCTTCTTTAAAACATTAAAACTAAGTGTATATCTTAATGAAATAGTACAAAACACACGATAGCGTGCAAGTGATGAAATAAAAAGATACTTCTTGTACAATTTTTCTTTGTGATAATTTGGTAACATTACATCGTCGAATTACAATGTTGCAAGCAAGATTTTTATAAAGAAAAATTTGTAAAAAAGAAAGTTGAAGAGAAAAGGGAAAAATTATTGCAATCTGCAATGAAATTAAGAGCTATATTTTCACCAAACGAAAATAAGTTGAGATTATATTAATCGATATCTTGCCATTTTAATATTAACCCTTTGTGGTCACCAGGAATCCATGAGACTTCAAAAAAGGTTTAAGGCTTTACATCTCTAAAAAATATTCTTATGTTAAATAAATACTCTTTTATACAATAACTTTACACTTCGTTATTTTAAAAAACGATTTCCTTTATTCTTCAGAATAAATACCTTTTTTGAAACATGGACTATTGCACTATTTTTTTTCTAAAAATATCATATCTGTAGAGTATAGCCATAAATTTTGATCAAAAGTATAAAAATTAAAAAGTTACAATTTCTTTTTAGTAAAAAAGTGCATCTTTCCAAAATTTTTGCTTTGTAATTTTTTTTAATATGTTAAAATTAAAATTTTTTTAAACTGCCACTGCATTTCCATGTTCTACAATGTTCAGTAATTTTTGTGATTTTAAAGAATAAAAGTTGTAAATATAACAATCAATGAAGTGTTAAGGCAATTTTGTCCCCTGTATGACAAATATAAAATTCTCAAGAAGTATGATCATGAAGGGTTAAATATCTTTTTAGAATAGTTGACATACTATTATTTGTTCGTGACCATTATAATCATAATTTTTTAAACTATTATAATCTTGTTTTTTTTTTTTTTTTTTTTAGAAAGATCTGTGACAATATTTGTGTGCAGTCAAAGAAATATTTCCAATCCTTACCTGTCACTAAGTTATATGTTAAAAGTTACGTTTTCAATATTTTTCTCTTTCATTTCATCGTTAATCTACCCTAGAATTTTGCACACATCAAGTTTAGTACTTCAACTTCATTATATATGTATATATAAAGAAAATAGACATTTCTATGGTAACTCGATTTACTAAAGAACCACCTTAATGAAATCATTTGGAGGCTTTGAAACATACACAGTCACAGAAGTGACTGAGGTGCATATCAAACAACATATTGAAACTGCAATCAATAAGGCAAAATAAATAAATATCAATTCCAATCAATTGTTATAAAAGAATTATGATGAACAGAACGTAACTCACTTCTTGCTTTCTGTCGATAGTTCGAATTTGATCTAATGTTTGAATACTAGGCGATAATCCACCATGAACACAAAAGATCTTGCCATCGATAATAGCAGATAATGATAAATAGTCAAATATCTCTGTGCAATATCGCCATACTGTTATACTGCCATATTTGCGTAAGCATTCGTCATAAAAACCATAAACTTGTGTTATTTGACGTGATTCATGATTTCCTCTTATTAAAGTAATTCTGTCAGGATAACGAACCTGTGACAAGACATAAACTATAAAATTATATTATAATAGTATATCTGTCAGTTATTTTAGATTTAATTTCTCTTAACTAATTTTTATTCAAGTATAAAGATAAATTAAAATTCATATATTCATATAAAATAAAAAAGCAACTTGTGTTTTGCTTCTTAATCACTATTCAGACATTTAACATTATTAGGTTCATATTGTTTTATATTTTGGCATACCTTTAATGCAAGTAAAAGAAGAAACGTTTCAACACTATAAAAACCTCGATCTACAAAATCTCCCATAAAAAGGTAATTTGTTTCTGGCACATCGCCACCTACTTTAAATAATTCCTTCAAATCATAAAACTGTCCATGGATATCTCCACAAACCTAAAGAAAACATACCATATAAGATTTAACATGTTTAACATTCTGATTTTGATAATCTGATTGCTTTTTCATGAGAAATAGAAATAATTACTGTCACAGGTGAGTCAACACGTTGTACATTGCTCTCCTCAATCAGAATCTCTCGCGCCTTTGCGCATAGAGCTTTGACCTCAGCCTCCTTGATAATCTCACATTTCTTAAGCTGCTCAATTTGCCGATCCAAGTCACTGGACTCGGCCATTGTATGGCGTGGAGTTGAATTAATTGAAGTTGTTTGCCGGAAAATACAGCTGTTGCTAATTGTTCCCACCTATAAGTCTTTGCAATCTCGGTTAGCGCTTTAGGACTCACAGAAATGACATGAATCTTGAAATAGCTGTCAAATGAACACGAGATTCGAGTAACAAGAACCAAGAGTGCATACACACGGTGTGAAAGAAATTACATGCTATACATGATACTTACGAGTTGTCGTCGTCGTCGTTGGCACTTGGGGTTTCACTGCCGTGATCGACGCATTGAACGAGTGAACTACCGTTGAATTTCTCTTAATCAAATTACAGAAGAAAGGTCTCAAACAGGAGTTCTGTGTTCGTCGAACTTTCTTTAATGTTGCAAATCAAGCAACGAATCGCTCGTAGTTACTCACTGGGCCAAAGGTTACCAAAGGACTCTGTTTTTTATTCCTGCACTAGACCGCATTAGAACTTGATTTCTTGCTTTTGTCAAATATCAAGCATGTCATTTCACTTTCCAAAAGTATATACTAGCTCAATCACAAGAAAACAGACTTCAATTATACCAAATTGTTTAACATAAACATGGAGTTCGACAAGTGAAATGATAGTGAAGTGAAAAGCTTGTCTACACAATAAGGCGTAATGCTGAATTCACACTGGATCTGACGTGTGTCGTACGACGCTCTGCAACTAAATCAGAAAACAGGATTTTGCTTCGTATTATCGATACGAAATAAAATTCTGCTTTCTGATTGGTTGCAGAATATCGTACGACGCACGTCGGATCCAGTGTGAATCCAGCATAAGAATGAAATCACACATGCGGAAAACGATTGCGGAATAGAAAATGCGTCATTGGGCACGTTAAAGTTTAGAAAGCGGCTAGCCTGCTCGCCAAGCAAATGAGCATAATTGATTGTTACTTATAGATCAAACCAATCATATTCAATCGCTCGGTAAGAATGCCTAGCCGCTTTGTCGTCTTAAACTTGTCCATTGAAATAACCAATTAGCGCTATTCGGAATAACGCAGAATAACGCTGATTGGTTGCTTCTGTGGATGCGCTCCGATATTCACTGCCAGTACTGAAAATCTAGGTGCGTTCTTTGTACAGTTACTGCCGTAGATGTTCGTTTATTCTACTTGTTAAAGGGTCTGCGCACAATAGCGGAATAGGATAAATATTAGATATTAGGAATAGGAATTAAGAATAGAGATTAAACGTAACGCACAATGTGTTTAAATGAGATATAAAATATAAATGTACATTTCATATCATCTCATACAGCTACAAATAACCTCTTTACCTTCATGAAGAATATTATATCACAATATAAAATAAGTTTTAATTAATAAAATAAGCAAATAAGTAATTTCAAAGAGTGGTAAAGAGACAAGAATAAATAAACAAAACTAGAAGTTGTGCACGCAAAACTTAAAGATATTGTATCTGCCGATCTGTTCATGTAGATATCATAACCTCACGATATTTAATCTATAAAATAGTGTTAAAAATTATGAAAGTTACCACTGAAAAAAATCTCGCAGTCTTATTATCGTATATAACTTTACAAATAAATATTTCAAATATGTTAAGAAAAAAAAGAAAGCACAAGAAGTGGAGAAATAATTAGTGGTTCGTCCTATCAACTTACAAAGGGATATTCTTGATGACTATTCAGTTCTAGTCAAAAAACTTAAAAGGATAAAAATCTCTTTTTCCGCTATACTAGAATGTCATTAGAAGTGTACAATAATATTTTGAAAAAGATATCACCAGCATTAATGAAAACTAGTTTAAGAAAGCCACTAACACCAAAACAGCGTTTATTAATAACATTGAGATATTTGTTGTCTTTATTTCTTATTTTATAATATAGATAAATTATTTGTGAAAAAATTATGTATTGCGTGCGTGCGCGCGCGCGTGCGTACGTGCGTGCGTACTAATATAAATTTACATTGGTAGATATTGGAACTTATAGAAGTGAAAATAATGGTGGAATTTTCAGTAGATCAGAAATAGGTCAAGGCGTAAAACATAATACCTTGTATTTATCACCAGATTATGCTTTCCTTTCTGGCACTAATATAAAAACAGCATATTATTTTGTAGGTGATAATGCTTTTGAATTGTCTCGTCATTTAAATAAAATCTTTTCCTCAAAAATGTCTTACCAAAGAAAAAAAGATATACAATTACAAGTTGTCGCGTGCCAGATGCATGATTGAACGTGCATTTGGAATTTTAGTTTCACGATGGAGAATACTTTTAAAACGTATAAGAATGAATGTTGATAAAGATGAAAAAGTAGTTGCTTGTGTACATCTCCACAATTTTTTATAATATCTATGGAATCTGAACTACTACTAGCAAAAGAGATACTTATCAAACTAATATATTAATTTTGAAGATAATGAAAGAAATATGGAGGATCAAGCTGCATACAATCGTATGTTATCTTTAGCAGCGCTTATCGAGCTACTATTGAGGCTAGTAGACAACATGATAACTTAGCTGCTTGAATGAATAGCTCACATGGTGAAATGTTGTGGCAATATGATTATATTTCTAGAGGAACGTATAGAGATATCATTAATATTACATTACTTTTTATTTATTGAAATCACATATTTTTTTACATAAAAATATTGTGTATTGCAAATATATAAACTTTATTAATATTATTTTTCTTACTAATATTATGTAACGCAAAAAAGTATTTTAATTTAAACTTTATTTGACAATAATACTTTTGAATACAACTTACTTGTTCATTAAACATTATATCAAATGTAATTAAAATAAGATAATCAAAATAAGCAATAAGCAATCTAAAGAGAAACAACAAGAATAAGTATTAATGAAAACTATTTTAAGAAAACTACCAATTCCAGAACAGTGTTTATTAATAATGTTAGGATATTTGTTATTTAATTACGTAATACAATCTTCAATCAACAGATAAATAATAAAATATCTGTGTACACAAGTATATGCTTTTTTTAATGATAATACTGTTTCATAACAATGTTATATCTATGTAACGCAAATAAAGTATATACTTTTTTTAATCTGATAATAATACTCTTTCACATAGTTTTATAACATCTATATACGCAAATAATATATGAACTTTAATGATGATACTTGTAAATGATAATGATAAATATCATATAAAATATTTAGTTTATTGTGTGCTCCATGATAATATTTATTAACTTTTTTCTTAGTTCTGATTTTTGTGGTTCATTAATATTTCGGCCAAAATCATGTTTGTTAAAACTTCATCTCTATCATTTATATTATCATTTGAAAACATTCGAACTGCCATTGCAGATACAGATTGAGATACTAAACTAACAAGGGAATCTCTCGAGGTGTCAAATTATGATTTTAATGAAACTTTGTGAAGTTGTAGTTTACTTAAAGGATGAATTTAGAAAATATTAGTTGCTGTTAAAAAACGGTTTGAAAGAGTGAAATCACTCCTTATGTATAGAGCGGTTTTCAGCTTTTTCCGTTGTATCTCAAAAACTATTCGAGATATCAAAAAATGTTTTATATAGAAGTTTTACAACAAAATTATTGTATTTATGCGCGTTTTTAGAATAATTATTTGCCAATTTTTTTTCAAAATTTTCGAAAAAAATTGTTAAATAATTATTCTAAAAAAATTTTATTGACGTTAATAAATAGAAGTAATTTTATTGTAAAATTTTTGTATAAAACATTTTTTTACACTCGAATAGTTTTTGAGATATAGCAGAGAAAGCTGAAAATCGTTTCGCACATGAGGCCTGATTTCATTCTTCAAACTCTATGTTGGCAGCAATTTTCAGAACTTTTTAAAAAATTTATTAATTTTAAAAATATTTATGATAGAGGTAATTTTATTATAAAGCTATTTGTAAAGTAAATGTCTATCCCGAGAAAATGATAAAATCATTGTATTAGTATTAATATCATTATTAATACTAACATGATTATTATATGACAAAATGTTCTCAATTATGATATTCTTAAAAAAAATGTTGCATACAAAAATATTTGTGTCCGATATATGAAAATTTTGATAATGAATCAAATCGCAAAAGTGCGATGATTAATAATTATAAGGATAATGTCAATATAATTTTATAATTCACAAATTAAAAAACCAAAATTGGTTAAAAGGTTACTATCATATGTGTCTTTTGTTGAAAGGCATCATGTAAAGTCAGAATGGGAAAGATTAGTATTTATGTTATTCGTGAAAATATCACTTTTATTTATCATACAAGTAATATGGTTAAATGTTATAACAATAAATTGTGCTTTGCCTAATTATGATCCGATGTTAGAGGCATTCATCGTGGGCTGACTATTTTTAATTTACTGCCAGAAGCGTTAATCGTGGGCTGGCAAGCTATAACAAAATGTCACAGCCGTAAATCGTGCTTTGGCTAGTTATAGATAAATGTTAGAGGCGTTCATCGTGAGTTGACTATTTTTAATTTACTGCCAGAGGTTTCGATTATTAAATCTGGTGAAATACCATTGCGGAACCAATTTGTAGAATTTTGCGTCTGCAATTGAAAAAATGTGAATGGATGGATTGTCATGATGGAATCAAAACCTGATTGCTTGACACGACCAAAACAAAGAAACTAATGAAATCTGTCTGAAATTTTAACAGTAATCCGAAGAAGGATCAAACTTTTCTAAAATTATAGCAGTTTCATATTTGTGAAATCATTTCTGTATTAGACCGAGAATTTTTCGAACTTATATTCTCGTATAAGTCAGCATATCAATAATAACTGTGTATTAGAGTCTAAAATAAAAATAGCATGTTTCATTAAAAAGACATGGATGTGATCTTGATCTGACAGACGCCATCCAAGGTCAAACTGAATCAGTAAATATCTTTTTTGAAACTTTACAACTTTTGTCTAAAGCGTTTCTTTCAAAAACGTTATGTAAGGGCCTTAGCACAAAGATGGCCGTAATTGAGTCGTAGAACATGAATCATAGTCATAGGTCAACACACTATATTTTGGCATACTATGTATGCCGATACAAATACAATTTACATTCCTTCACGATTAGTTATAGTCATCTTTATATTCAGCTCATAAATCCTTATGATCTTTTTGGACACCCTATATAATATATATGTTATACATATATATATGTGATATACATGTATATAACATATATTATACGGTCAATAGTCATATGCATAATTTTCATACGACGCTATACGTTTATAAAATGTATAAGTATATCATATTTAAAGTGTTTTAATAAATGATTAATGGCTAATACATCAGTATACCGTTAGTAATGAAAATCCATAGTTTACGTTATGAATATTAGATTTTCGGTTACTGGCAGTACATATATGTAAGTATTTTTCCCTACGTCCAAGGCCTACTTTACCTCTTTTTTCTATGTTTAATAAAAAGAGATATGTTTTTTATGGTTAAATGTACAGAGATCAGATATATGCTTTTATATTTCCAATATCCAGAATATACGAGTACATATAATTAACATAAATCGAAGCTAATCGAGAGTCAAACGCAAATGATCAGACGTAACATCTTAAAACAATAATCAAATTACGAATCATCTGATAAATGATATCTTTTTTAC